CTGCTTTGCAACTGCTGTGTTCCCAAGACCCCTCTCAGCTCCAGCCAATGCTCCTGCCACCAGATTGAAAGCACAAGTGTGAGGTGGAGAACTCATGGGCTTGGAGGCATGGGGTGGCATGGCGTGGAGGACACTGCTCAGGAGGCCCACAGCTCGGAAAAGAGTCTGGGTTTAAGCCCTGACCTCACTTCTCAGCCTGCTGAGAGCAGCAGATGAGAACCCATGGGCTTGGGCCCCAGCCATCCACACAGGAGGCCCAGACTGAGCTCCTGGTTTGGCTTGGCTGTTGTTAGCATTTGGGGAGCGTGCCAGGGAGTGGGAGATCTCAACTGAAAGCGAATAAACTAATTAAAAACAAGAAATCACAGGTGGGCATCCTAGTGGGATGGGCAGCTAGCAGACAGCTAGGCTCCCTCCACCAAGGACCAGGCAAGCGCTGGGGCTGAGCCCTTCTGCTCAGTGGGGTGGCAGATTCCTGCTGCTACACAGCTCTGCAGTATGACTTCCCAGCATGGGAAAGGGGACAAGAATAACTGGCACGCCCATCCAGGGAAAAGCCACGCCGGCTGGGCGGGCTCCCAGTGGTGAAGCAGGTGGTTGTGCTAGGACCAATGGCTACCGCATGCATCCACAAGGGCAAATTTCATCATGCCAGTGCTGAATGGATGAAGCAATGTGTGTGTGCACATGCGTGCGTGTACACACACACGGTCCCATGTTACGTATGTGTGTGCATGGCCTGCAGTCCCTGTTTCTTGCCTTGGTTTTTGTATTATACTTGACGGCACACAAATGTTGCTGAAGATAGCTTTGTATTTAAACTACACACACACCCCCCAAGACAAAACTCAGGAAACAACTCAAGTCAGAACCCCATCCCTGAAACAAAATGGATATCAGTGAAAAGCTTCATGGAGGGAAGAAGTGAAAGGAACTGGAAATGACCTGGCAGGTGGTGGCGGACATGGGACACAGAGAACAGAGACCAGGGCTCTGGATTCACAGGATATTTGGAAAGAAAGTGCTAAGCAGGGCATCAGGACAAAGATTTTCCGGCTCACAGATCCAGGCAAAAACCAGTGACCACAGCCCAGGCATGACCTGATCTGACAAAATGTTTTTATATGCAAATGCCACAAAAATCACAAGCAAAAGCAAATTCCCAACACAACTGGGTTTCTGAGGGGAATAGATGCACACAGCCACACAGCTGGCTTTGGACCTCTCCCCTCCCTTCCTCCACCCTGGTCTGCCTTTTACACATGAGGTGGCTTCCCCTTCACAACTCAGTCCACCTATCATTTTACTGCATCCTGGGAATGCCCCCAGCCACATGCCTCATCCTACATGGGATGCTGGTGTTGCAGGTCCTGGCATAACCCCTCTGCCACAATGCCAGCCCCCAGTCTTGTTTCTATTTCTCCTTATGTTCTGATTTGTCAGGAGCCATGTACTATCACCACACTGAAGCCATTTTGAATATAGACCTATGGGCCAGTGGAAAACCCCCGGCTGGCTAGATGCTTGGGAAAGAGATTATGATACTAATCACACGCTTAGCTTCAATTGTTTGTAGCAACTGTTTCAGATGTGATTGATGCTGCATCTGCCGACATCTTGTTACTGATTACTTATGCTATTGTTGATATGTTGGCTACTATTGTTGATATGGTGGCTGCTCAAGAACAATCGGTCTTGAGACCAGGGCCTGCGTCCCCGTTTCTCCTTCCCTCCCTGAGCCTTAGTTACTGAAGAATATAAAAACCCTCCGTTGAAATCAATAAACTGACAGCTTGATCAGACATCCTGTCTTGCTGTCCATTCTTCGTGTCTCTTGTCCAGTCATTCTCTCCTAGGTTGGTTGTGACCCCCGCTGACTGTCCTGCTGGACGGGACACTGATTCACTTGTCCGATCCCACTGTCCTGTCATCCCGAGTGCCAGTCCTTCTGGCTGCTACTTCTGCCCATGCCTTCCGGTGGCTCTTTTCTGCATGTGATTAGTCAATGCTGGGGACACACTCTGCAGTGGGGACAGATGATGACTGACTGCATTGTCAGTCAAGTTGTCTTCTTAAAAAAAAAAAAGCATATTTAAGGGGTTGATGTTGTGGCATAGCGGCCAAAAGCCACTGCCAGCGATGCCTGCAATCCAGGCTCCACAGGACAGAGAGGCAGAGGAGCAAGATCAAAGGTACGCATGCTGACCCGCTGAGCATGGCTGTCTGCACAAGGATTTTTCTAGTGTGTGTTTTGTTCTGCTTTTCACACCCTATAAATGCCCTCAATGACTTGTATTAACTGGGGGATCAGAAAGCATCAAATGTCTCCCATCTTTTCCTAAGAAGCAAAATGTCTGAGGGCAACAACAGACAAGCACAAAGCTGTCTGGGCTGGGTTAAACAACATAATAAGACCCGTTCCTACTCGCTTTCTTCCTGCGGTCTGTAATGGACTCTCAGTGCAGCAGCCGGCTGTCCTTGGAAAGGTGGGGTGGGCTGGGGTCTGATCTTTTCTATTTTCCCTACTAAAGATCCCCCAAGGCTTCTCACTTCACTGAGTAAAAAAACCAGAGTCCTCACTCTCTCTCACCTTCCTCCCCAGCCTCACTGGTCTGGCTTTCCTCTGAACCCATTAGGCTCACACCTGCCACAGCCCTTTGCATATGCTGTCTCTCCCAGTCCAGGTGGCCGTCTCTCCAGAGAGTCGCAGAGCAAGCCTGTGCCTTACCTCTCGGCTCCTCCCTGGCCCATCTCTAAAACTGTGACTCCCCAGCAGCACCCCCTTTTGCGGGATTCAGCATGTTAGCCATGTTCTGCCTCCCCTCACAAGAAGCACTGTGCTGCCTGACACACAGAAGATGCTCAGTAAACATGGGACGAGTGCCTTGCTGAGTCAGCGCAGAAGACCAGGCACCCCTGCAGGGCAGAGGGCCTGGGACTTGCACCTGCCACTCATGTCTGTGCAAAACACGCAACTCCACCTGCAGCCCAGACATGTGGGTATAGCATCTGACCCAGGCCGGGAACAGTGCCTGGGACAGCATGGCTGGGAGGATGGAAGTGGGGTGCCCAGGTTTACCCCTTCCTCCAGGTTGTGGCTTCTGCAAGGGACAGACTCCAACCACCCATCATGGCTGCAGAACCAGCTTGGAGGGAATACACAGCACTTGGCATTTTAAACGTCCTTTCCACGTAGCTTCATTGAGAAAAAAAAATAAAAGATGTAAGGAAACCAACCATTCAACACTCCCACCCCAAAAGCAGCAAACAAGAACATATGACCCAGAGGCATGGCATCCACAGGCACGTAGCCTCATGTACCACGCACACGTGCTCTGCCCCTTCCATGCCCACCAGATGACCGTCTGCCACCATGCGTCTGGCACGGTGGTACGGAGGCCACATCCCTGATCTCGCTGAGTTCCCACAACCTCTAAAAATTCAAGGACAAGCTGATAGCGTAACGACAGTTCATATTCTCTGCTGTAGCAGAGATAAGAAAATTCGTGCTAAGCTGTTTCAGACTTTTCTAGGCACCAGAGTGACCTGCAGATTAGGGCCAGCGGGATGCGGGGGCAGCGAGGGGGGCCCTGCCTGCATGCACGGCCCAGGATGATGAAGAAGCGTGAGGGCATCTGTGCTGAGGTCGCACGGGGCTGCAGCCTCAGCAGCCCTCCACTAAGTGATTTGGTTGCCAAGTGTGTCCTCCCCCATCCACTTGCTTTGCCCTCATCTCTGCCTCCCACAGCTCGGCTGTGACCATCATTTTTCCCTGCTCGGATGTTGTCTACAAGATCCTGTTTGGAAGGGACTGCTTGGCTCAGAGAGAGCGCAGCTGTCAGGGGGCCTCCTGAAAACAGGAAGGACCTCAACGCAGAGGGGCTGTTCCCGGCTGGACAGCAAGGGGAGTCCCACATACTCAGAGGGCACCTCCCTTGGTCGGACACCCGGTGCCTTTCGCAATGCCACTGCACTCTCTTGGCCATCCTGTGAGCTCCCAACAAACCTGGGAGCCCTGGCTCTGTCCTGGGGGACCCAGCAGAGGCAGCTGCAAAACAGCCTAGCCAGCCAGGAGAGCAGCGTGGGAGGTGGTGGACAGGGAGCAAAAGACAGAGAGATCCACTCCCACTCACCACTCAAAAACACCTGAGGAACAGGCTAAGAAGGAAGACTGTTATTGGCATGGAGCATCTCAAAGAGACGGCATGAAGCACGAGATAGCATGAGAAATCCATGCAGGAGACACTGCACGGGGAGGAACCCCGGAGCAGCTGGCAGCCATGGAGGTTCCACTACACACGCAGGGAGAGCTCCAGGAGACGGGAGACACGCAGTACCAAGAGTACCGCCCACGGCCATCATAGCCGAGGGCCTTCCAGAATTCAAGACCCATCAAGGGCCCTCAGGTTACAGGTGCACCTGGTAAACACTAGTCTGTATCAGAATAGTGGGGGCTGGTCCTGCACCCCAACCCTCTGTCCTGGCCTAGTCCTGTCCTGCCACATAGGACTAGCCCTTCTGGTTCTTCCAGCCATACTACAAGCCCAAGCTGAGTCTCAACTTTGTCCCCTACAAGGGGGTCAGAATTACAGGAAAACAGCTCCAGCACGGACAGCAGACCACGGCTCCACTCCCAGTTGTTCCACCCACTGCTCCATGTCCACAGATGTTTGGCCTCTGTGCCTCCAGCTTCCTGCCAGGGAAGGGTGTGAGGACTGCACCCCCTGTCTCAAATAGGGTGCATTAGCGGGGAACCTGGCACAGCACCAGCCGCTAGTGGATGCTCTCCTGGAGCAGCTGCCACCGATGCCACGTGAATTCAGGCCAGCATGAAGGACTTCCTACTAACACCGCAGACCCCTTCTCCACACCCGCCCCCAGCTACACAGCCAGGGCCACCACCCCCTCTGCCTGTGTGTGGTCCCTTCACAGCCCTCCTGGTCCCCCCACGCCATTCCCATCCGAACGCTCTGCCCCAGCTGCCACCTGGGCAGCCCTACCTCTCTCTGCTCACTGCAGATCTTGCACAACCACAGGGGCCGCTTCTGGCCAGGAGAGGCCTCGATCCCACATTTGGTGCAGACTTTCTATGAGAGAGAGGACAGGGCGGTGTGAGTACAACAGGGTTTCCTGAGAGGGGGGTGGGTGTTGCTTCAGGGTAGAAGCAGAGGCCACACACAAGGAACAGGGGACTCAAGATACCCTTGGCCCACTCTGGGTCATGAGGGGTTTGAGGCAGGAGACGATGAGGATGGAGAACCCCTCCTGCTACCATGGATAACCAGAACACACCTCCTTCCCTGCCCCACAAGGCCTATGAGGACCGTGCGGGAGAAATGCACTGATTGCTATTCAAAGCCACCACGTCACTATTTTCAACAGCAAAGAACAACCCAAACACTTGACCCAAAGGTATGTTCCAGACAGACAGACACACACACACACACAGAATGTGGAACAGTCTGGGCATGGCTACTTGTGCTGCCACCTGGAGATGTGGGTGGACAGTCATGTCCACTAACGCTCATTCACAACTGTGCAGAAAGCTGACACGTTGGGCTGGTGGTGTGGGCTACAGGTAAAGCGACTGCCTGTAGTGCCAGAATCCTGTATGAGCGCTTGTCCAAGTCCCAGCTGTTCTACTCCCAATTCAGCTTCATGCTAACATGCCTGGGAAACCAACCAATGGAGGACTACCCAAGTGCTTGGGCCTGTGTACCCATGTGGGAGACTTGCATGTGGCTCCTGGTCTGGGTCTTGTCCAGCCTTGGCCATGGTGGCCATTGGGGAGTGAACCAGTGGGTGAGAGATCTCTCTCTCCCTGTGTCTCTGACCACTCTGCAACTCTGCCTTTCAAGTGGATACATTTTGTTTTAGTGAAGCTCAGGTTGAAGGCCCTGGAGCAACAGCCCAGGCACCTGTTTCATAGTGTGGGGCCTGGGACATGGGTGAGTGTGTCCAAGTTCATACCACAGGTGAGACCTGGATGCAGGGCTGACATCAGAACTGTGATGGCGCTCCCCTGGCAGATTCTGCTGTTTTCTCCCTCCATGGGGTTGTTGACGCTGTCTGCCTTCCCCTTCCGGGATGGCAGCCGGTTGGGCCCCAGGAGACAGACATGAGGCTGGGGCTGCCTTGGTGCAGTCTGATTCAGCCACAGGGCTCTGAGCTGGGCCTGGGAGCCACCTGTGCCCTGCAGGGTGGGGCTCTCTCCTGCCCACACTGTGGGAAGGCTGGCATGGTGGTTTGGCCTTCTCTGCTGGCTGCCAATGGAGCAAGCAGTACACCCCTCCTGGAGACAGAAATGTCACCCGTCTGGCTTCTTGAAGCATGGCGTCAGCAGTCTGATTGGGGGCCGCAAGCTCTCACACACAGGGGAAGCTGTGAAGCCTCCATGGGGCCAGGGAACTGGCTGCCGCCCAACACTCAGGTGCGGGAAATGTCACTGCTCATTTATGTCTGCACAGAAAGTGGCACCTGCTCCAAGCTTCCGCCCCTTCCAACTGGCAGCAAAATCCTTCCTAGAGCCCAGGTGTGCCCTGAGGCACTCTGCTCTGCTCTGCTCTGCTGATGGTCCCAGGCTTGGGGTCTTTGCCAGTCCAGTACATCCAGGGAAGGTCCCCTGGGAGCTGTACATGCCCTCTGAGATTTCACAGTGCCCTGGAAGATGGGGGCACCTCTGTGCCAGCCTTGGATCTGAGATCATGGCTGGGCCACCCTGGGGAACAGCAGTTGCTGTCCCGGATGCAATTTGGAGCCCCCCTTTCCCTTTGCTGTCTCTAAGACAGGATGCCCATCAGCCCCCAGGCTGTAATGCCCTGCCTGCTGGTTCCCCGTGGCTTGGCCTTGGCCGTGGTGGCCATCTTGCCTCTATGTGCAGCTGAGGACACAGGGCAGCCTTGGCTCTGTCATGGTCACTCAGGCTGCTCTAAAGACAGGGCGGGGAAGCCCTCAGCTTGGGGGAGCCTGAAGGCCTGTCCAGCGCGCCCACACAGCCAGGCCCTGGCAAGGCTCCTTTTGTTCCACTGGGTTCTCACTGGAGCAGAGTCTCCCCCTCCTCACTCGGGGTTCTGGCCTAGTGATCTCAGCTGAACCCACTGGAAGTGAGGGTGGGAAGGAGACACACCCATACTCTGTCCACAGCAGTCCCTGGCCAGGGCCAGGCACCTCTCTCCACTCCTGTATTCTCTACTTTCACTCCAGCCCCTGCTTAATGGCCTGGGAATAGCAGTGGAGAACGGCCAAAGCACTTGGGTCCCTGCTACCCATGACAGAGACCTGAAGAAGCTCCTGGTTTTGGCCCAGCCCACTCCTGGCTATTGACCATCTAGGGAGTGACCAGTGGATAGATCTGTCTCTGTGTCTCTCCTTTCTCTGTAATTTTGACTTTCAATGTTTTGAGTAGCAGAGAGAGACAGAGCTTCCACCTGCTAGTTCACTCCCCAAACAATGGCAGTGGCTGAGGCTGGGCTAGGCCAAGCCAGGCCCAGAACAGATGAGCCTCCCACATGGGCGGCAGAGACCCAGGTACCTTAGCCATCACCTGCTGCCTCCCAGGGTGTGCATCAGCAGGAAGCTGGAATCAGGAGCAGAGCTGGGAGTAACACACGTATTCTGATGTGGGGATGTGGGCATTCCATATCAGATCTTTTTTTTAAGACAAAAAATTTTTTTAAAGATTTATTTTTATTGGAAAGGCAGATATACAGATACAAAAGAGACAGAGAGAATGATCTTCTGTCCATTGGTTTACTCCCCAAGCGGCCACAACAGTAGCAGGAGCTGAACTGATCTGAAGTCAGGAGCCAGGCACTTCTTCTGGGTCTCCCATGTGGTTGCAGGGTCCCATGACTTTGACCTGTCCTCAACTGTTTTCCCAGCCCACAAGCAGGGCGCTGGGTGGGAAGTGGGGTGCCAAGATTAGAACTGGCACCCATATGAGATCCTGGCACATGCAAGGCAAGGATTTAGCTACTAAGCTACTGTGCTGGATCCAAGCCTCACATTTCTTTCAAGTGTACACTTTCATTTAGTGAAAGGCAAAGAGGCAGAGAGATGGAAAGATTGCCCAACCACAAGGTCACTCCCCTGTACCTACAAAAGGAAGGAGCCCAGAATTCAGTCTAGGTCATCCACATGGGTGGCAAGGATGCAAGTCCTTGAGCCATCACCTGCTGCCTCCCAGTGTGCACATGAGCAGGAAGCCGAACTGGAAGCAGAGGAAATCAAACCAGGCGCTCAGGCATCCCAGGCGGCATCTTAGCCACTGTGCCAAACACCTGCTCTGACCTGGCATGCCCTGCAGCCCGGAACTGTGCCTGCGTCCTGAACAAGCCCAGCCCAGCCTCTGGGGCTCACTCCGGGCGGAAGTGAGCAATCCCAGGCCTTCAGCCATGTGGCTTCCCTCCTCACTACGCCCCCTCAGCTCACCAATGCCCCAGTGCCAGCTGCCCCAGGGCCACAGACAACAAGCAAAGGCTGCTCAGATACAGTACTTCCTTTCTCAAATCCTTGTTGGTGCACAGGGGCAAGAGGCAAGCACACGGGACAACTGGTAGACTTGCTGAGCACAGCGTACAGCCAAGGATACCAGCCCCCATCAGACACATGACCCTCCTCTTGTTCTTTCCTTCCCTTGCCTTCCTCCTCCAAATATTCTGTGTCCCAGAACTCCAGGGGTCTCTTCCACTAGGCAGCCCCTCTCTGTCAGCTCTCCCTGAGCCACGCTGCCTCCACAACCCATGCCCGGCCTGTACCACCTCACCGACCAGCCTCCAGCTAGTTCCCCGCATAGCAGACAGACTCATCTTTCTAAGATATAAACTGAATCACACCACCTCTCCCTTCTTGCCAGCTGAGGGCCTTTTGGGGCTCCTGCTGCGTGTGGACGGAGACCTCCTCCTCCTCTCCCAGGTGTGCCAGGTCTGCAGGCTGGGCCCTCCCTCCCATCAGCCTCAGCTCACTCCTGCCTCCCTGCCACACCAGCTTGTTCTTGCTCTCTGCTTCCTGCTCTGCCACAGCACCTTCACCCGCTCCCTGCTTCGGGGCTACACTGTCTCCTCATTGGCCCTGGCAGCCTGCAGACCTGTCAAAGCACTACTTCTTTGAGGAAACTCCCCTGACTTCTCGCCCCTCACTGGAGCCTGCATAGCACTGGGCTCTTGCCTGTTTCCCTGCTTGCTGTTCAGGTTTGTGGCTTCACCTGTGCTTGCATGTGGCTGTGGAGCTCCAGTCCCTTCACCCTGGGGGCCGGCAGCTCCCTGGGGACAGAGGCCATTTCTCTTTCTGCTCACCTTGCTGTTCCCAGGGCCTGGTGCAAAAGTGACTATTTGCAGAACACACAAACCAACAACTGGGAACCACATCTGTATCACAGCCAAGGAGGCAAGGCACAGTCTTCCCGAAATGTGCCCGGGTCCAGGGCAGCAAGACACGCAGGGACATGGACCACCTGCTGGGCAGCAGAGGCAAAGAAGAACTCATGTCCATGCTGGGTGATGGAGGAAGTCAGACGAGGGCCAGCCTGCACAGGGGCAGGGCCAGGGGGTGTGTCCAGGGAGGTGCTTCATTCTCAGGGCACCGGATACAAGACCAGGCTGGTTGAGCCACCGAGGAAAAGGCACTCTGGGGAGGGCACAGGGACACTTAGCCCTCACTTCAGACTTCCTGCCTGTTCCCTGTCGTGGTGCACCCTACAGACTGTTCCCACACCCATACCCAGCTCAGCATCCTCCTGATGCAGTCACTCCAGTAAAGCCTCATCTCCACAGAGCCTTGCCTTGTAGTACAACCACAGGGGTGTGAGGGCACAGGCACCTTACACCCACAGCAGTCTGCACGGCCTGTGAGGCACCCCTGACCCACTGCATGCAGAGTGCCACCAGCTGCACAACGTGAGAAAGGACAGTAGGGCCGACGCCATCCCAGCAGCAGACATACAGCGCTTCAGGGAAGAGGCACCTGGGACCTCCCTGCAGCCAGACACACATACACTGCCTTGCCCCGAGAGCCTTCCGGGTCATCACTTCTCACAGAGGGTGAGGGCCCCGAGCACAGGCAGCCCAGGACACCGGCACACACACACAGA